GATTGTAGGCTTGAGGCCGGTGGGTGGGGTGCCAATAGCACAGGTCAGAGGGGGTTTTTGGTATACTCTGGGACAGGGACAGGGTTTGGTTTCACAGTTTCAGCCCATGGGCAATGGGGTACCCATCCTCAACTGGCAACTTATTATTGATATTTAATATTAAAAATTTGAATAATCTTATTACTTTCAATTTCAATGAATGTAAACAGAAGTAGATCTTGCCTTGGTAAGAATCTTATCCTCAAAAGACTTGACTGTCTGAAACACTTTGACTGGATCAATCTGCCCAGTAATGATTACGCACAAGTTTTCTGGTCTATAGAATTGCTGATGATAGCTGCAAACCTGTTGAATCAAACAACAAAATAAAATCCAAACAAACCCTTACTCATGCATTGGGAAAAATTTAACCCCCACAAATCCCACACCATATTTTCAAACTGCAAAATTGCCCAGAAAGACTTGAGAATGGAAGCAATGTAATGCAATGCAGTTGCTGTAAATCATCACAGTTTTTTCAATACCCAAAAGAATCCTTGGTCAAACTGTACTGCCCCCCGTAAAAAAAATTAGCTAAGGTTCTTACCAGAAAAAGGCCGAAATCATGAATTTCAAACTCAAAACAATCCTTTGCATGTCCCTATGACCAAGACCCCCCCCCACACACACACACACACTCAATACTACACGTAGCTACATACATACAATGTACATGCATACATGAACTTTATTTTTGCTCAAATTTCAGAGTAACCTAAAAGGCTAATATCTTCTTCATTGTTACATAATAATGAAAACAGGTGCCAAAAGGAAAAATGCTCCAAGTGAGTTAACTTCTGATAAAAAGATAAGATAGACCTTTATTGGGTTAACACTAATTACTGTTAATAACAGTTAGTTTTTATTGTGCCCCAAAAAACTGTCAAATTTTCTTATTAACCTGCCTTTCATTGATTCTGACATTAGACTGAATACCAAAGCTACTTTCTGTTTCCAGAAAGTTTCACATTCAAAATTGATAATAAATTATTAAGGAATGCATACCTTAGCGTGACTACAGGTTGAGCGCAAGTTTTCCATAATTCCCCCAGTCTCTGACTATGAAAAAATAAAATTCCTTGTAACCTTTCTGCTGACATACGTATACAGGTGGGTATTAACACTTTTAAGGAGAAATTAGTGGCTGATTACTATCAATAATAATTATTTAATGATGTTATACGAGACGATTAGCAATGATGATTTTATGCACAACACAGCATTGCAACATTCATGCGACATTGTTTCAGATATATAGTTACAACACTGTTCCAACATTGCAACGCTGTGATGCGCTAAAAATCGTTGTTACAAATTTTCCTGTGTAACATCACCTTTAAAGGTGAAGAAAATTGTTAAGATTTACTATGGTTTTAGGTTTAATAAAACTACAAACTGCTGTTCATGAAATAAGCGCAGGTTCCTAAACAGAGTGGCGGAAATCAAGCCTACTACTGCAAGTAAGACGCTTACAGGAAAAATTCTTTTAATGGCAAGCTATATTAAAAACTGAAACTAAGCCTATTGTAAAAACAAATAAAATTTTAAAAATTTCAGTGTTAATTTTCATCTAAATCTAAGGGAAGAAGCTTTAACTTGAGGAAACATAGGGTATAACAGGTGGAAACTGTTGCTACTAAAATAATTTTTCTTGAAAAGTTTCATATCACATTGTCCCAAGATATTGCAGGGCTCAAAATAACGGCCGGTCAACGGACAATGTCCGGCCTGATCGTGGGCTTGACCGGTCAAACTCTCGTCTGGCTGGTCATTTTGACCGGTCATTTTTGGATGCTTGTCGCTTAATGCGTTTTGCTCTATAACGCTGTAATTCGCTGCTTTCTTTTGCTTTTTTTGCTGCTTTGCACTAAACCCTTTAAAGAAAAACGTTCTGCTTTGCTGTGATCAGTAATGCGACCTTCTTTGGGAAAACATTCGCTAACAATAATCTGTTATTTTTTAGAAAACTAAAGGATGAGTGACAGTTTTTGTCCATCAAACATTTCACATCTACTTGTAACAGGATTGTGAAAATCACCTTCGACGGGATTCAGGCTAATCGATCGCTCGTCCAGTACTGTTTCTCTGGGAATAAATTTCAGCGCATCGATTAATTATAAAATTTCTTTACATCGAACATAATCTCATTTGCAAACTCGATTCCAGAATTGTCTGATAAAAACTAAGCTAATCGAGAACGAACGTCGCCTATCGCTGCTATATCAGCGCTTAAAATCCTCCTTCTTGATAAGCCGTTCGCGATAAAGTGTTGCGCGACGACCCAAATGAAAGCTCTCCTGTATATTTATTGACTTTTGACGACGAATACCCTGTTTGCGGAAAAAATTTCTTGCCAAATCAACTTCTTTGCCCCAAATATTTAGCGACGAAATTCTTCTTTGTGGAGGAGACTTTCGATCACGTGCCGGGCAACGAAAAGGATCAAGTTTCACCGATATGCAGATATAGGACGAACCTTGGAGACTTTCGACACCGCAGTACGATGATGCTGAAGGTATATATAAACCGACATAAAACGGGCAAAAATCGCGGAAAGGAACTCAACAACGTGTGAATGAATTTTTCACCAACTTGGCGGCAAAAACTTGAACGATAATGCCGTACTGCCAGCGTAATTCGATATTCCATGGGCAACAAAGTAATTATAATATTCATTAATTTGACCGGCCAAAATCGGGGTTTGTCCGGGCTAAAAAATATTTGGCCGGTCATCATGACCGGCGACCTGCTGTCCGTTATTTTGAGCCTTGTATTGTGGGTTCAGTGCTACAGGTCAAAATTAACTTCAGATTTAAATTCTTAACCTAGGTTGATTCTCAATTCCCTTTGTCTCCCAGCCTCATAATAATATTATTATTGAAGAATGGTGGCTTGGAGTCAAAGGAAATTAAGAGTCAAGCTACAATCTCGAACAAAACTACTTGAGAATGTTTTTTTGTTGATGCGCACTACCTTACGCAACAAAACTGTTTCCAAATCAATGGCTTTGCGTAAATATAACCCCTTCCCCCAGTCCAAAGTTGCTTCCTACAAATGCCCAGGGATCAGGCTTTCTTTTAAAGACACAACAACACTACTTCCAGCCGGAGGGGGAGGGAAGAATTGCTACAGCTTTGATGTCGAGAAAAATGCTCTCCAAGCATGTAATCTTATCAAGTTTTGTCCAAGATTGTAGGTTAAACAATTTTATTATATAGATACTAATGAAATACCAGGAGTTTTTCTTTTGCTAAAAAATCATATATTCATCGTGTGCAGTGAAGATACTATTTTTATCTTTCACGTGCGAGGATATTAGTGTTACCACGGTTACTAACATGATTAGCCAATTGTTATCTTTATTTCTCTTTTATAACTTTATATCTGAGTTTCATAACATTTTTATGACAGGCATTTTGCAATAGGTGACCACTTTAATTGCACTATTTTGCTATTTCGAAAATGAATAAAGACAAAAGTTGTGTTTCATGAAGGAATTTCATCAGTATCTATAAAATAAACAGAACATTACATGGCCACTTGGGGATACGAATTTTATCTTCTCCTACTGAAAATATCTCTCACTCGAAGACAAAATTTGTATCCCCACGTGACAGTATAATATCCTCTACTTAACCTGAATTTAATTTTGACTTGTAACATAGGCCCATTAGGCTTTTAACACATAAACTGTACCTTATAGCCACAATGTCCAGGATACATTTCCCGAGTAAAGTTCAAGAAAGTCAAAGATCTTTCCATATTCTCTCTTCCTTGCATCTCACAATAAACAACACCAGCATCTTCACCCTCTCCATTTACATGGTGAACTTCTGTTATGTATGCAGATTCCTAAAAATTGAAAGACACTGCCTGTCACCAAGGCAGAAGTTTGGAAGAGCTGGGGGACTGGTGGACTAGTGTCCTTGTGAACACTACAAATTAATGCAATATTCTAATGCCTGTGTTGTTAAGTCACAACAAAAAGAAAAACCTTATTGCCGTATTTCTGTGAATAATAGCCAGGGGCGATTATTTCTTTTTTCACACAAAAAGGGGGCGATTGTTATTTGAGGGAAGGCGATTATTCAAGGGAGGCGATTATTTCAAATAAATTAATGCTCACTGGAAGTCATGCCCTAAATATTTTGTTTTATTTTCCCATTAATTAAAAAAAATAATCACAACAAATAAACTGAACATGGGCTTTTTAAGTGTTCCAAATTTAGTTCATAGCTGAATTTTCACTGATCAGTTTTGCTGGATCACATTTTACTTCAACTTGACAGAGAGGGAATAAAAAGAAGAGAAGATGTTATTGACGATTAATCAAGGGATGGCTATTATTATTATATTACTTGGGAAGTACGGTACATCCATTCAGTGACATTATTTTCCTATCTGCATAAAGATTAAAAACCAAATGGAAATTTAACTATGGTACATGTAGGTACAGTGAATGTACACAGGAAACTGCCCACCTACCTCTCCCCTAAGCTAACATTAGCCCATAATTCTCACTTAAGGCAAAATGTTGGCTAAGGGAAGGTGTACATATATGGGCAGTTTCCCAAAAACATAAATTGATCCAAAGGGTAGAGTGAAAACACATTTTCATTACACTGTACATTACTGACTTTAAGAGTTGGGTATAAAACATGATCCAGATAGATAGGAAGCAGGTTTAAGAATCCCTCACTGCCTGCAGTTTCCATTGTATAAGCTGTGTGGTCAGTTGCTGTCCAGGCATTGGTACCCTGTGCCAGGCACCTGTTGGCTAGTAAATCCAAAAGACCCTGCAGGTTCAACAGAAGATGTACGTAATGTACATGTACATGTAAAAAAAAAATATTCGTAAATATAAAATATAAAAGAAACATAAAGGCAAAAGAAGGTAGACCAGAAAAAAGGCAGCAACACATCATTATGCTAAGGTGCAGTGTTTTTATTAGTTAGAGACAGAAAATCAGTTACATTAAAACCAATAAATTAAAATGGGCTTAATTTGGCTTGCAGACCACAAAGGAAAGACATAACACACATTTTAACAGGGCTTCTGATATTTCGCGGAAAAAAAAGAAAAATTTCGCGGGATTTTCAGGGGCAAATTCGCGGACAAATTGGCCGATTTCGCGGGATTTTCGCGGGAAAAAAGTCAAAATTCGCAGAAAAATCGGCCGATTTCGCGGGATATTCGCGGGAGAAAGTCAAAATTCGCAGACAAATCAGCCGATTTCGCGGGTTTCAGTGCAAAAAAGTCAAATTTTGAAGGATTTTCAGGGGCAAGTTCTTAGAAAAATCGGCTGATTTCACGGGAAATTTCAGGGGGAAACTTCCCCAAGAAACAATCAGTAAAAAACAGACGATTTCGCTGGATTTCTTTTGGCAAATTTCGATAAAATCGATCAATCTTGCATCGACATGACCAGCGTTTTTAACGTTTTTTTAACAGGGATAATCATTTGCTCTTTCAACAACAGTTCACTCGAGAAATGAGCAAATGCTTTAAAGCTATTAACATTATGGTTAGTGCCCAGTTTTTCGCAACGTTAATCTAAGAACGCCTGGTAGTTTTGGGACGTTGTTTACTCATTGCAGTGACGAAGTTTCCAGATAAATTTGGACGTTTGGGGTGAATAAAACAGGTCTAAAAGCCAAGATAAGTACTAAATATGTTTTGCCGACATGTATTTGGAAATATTTCTGGTGGATTTTGCGGTATTTCGTGTTTTTTGGGGAATTTCGCGGGATTTCACGGAAATACCTGAATTTCGCGGGTCCGCGACCGCGCGAAATATCAGAAGCTCTGTTTTAAGCAAGGTAAACCATTTTATATTGAAATCCTTCCCTATCCAGAGGTTACAGCTGAAACAATAGTTTTTTTCCACCACAAATCCTTATATTTTTAATGTTACAAAACAATACCGATGCTCATTACATTTCGAGCTTGGGCTACATGTGGTTGAATAAGATATATCAGATGCAAGGTACATGTACATATCAGCAATGTTTACTTCTTGCAATACGTGTACCTTGTAAGGGTAGCTTTCACTTCCCATGAAGACCAGGTGCTCCAAGGTGTGTGGTAACCCGTCATCATCATGAGCCTCAGTGGCTGATGAAAAATTAAAAAGAAAAAGTAGAAATTTTTACATTATGATCTTGTACCTAATCAGCACCCACACGACTGTGAAGTCAGCTAAATGAGTAGGCAAAGTTAAAGCCACGACAATGCAAAGCAGCAATCGTCTGTTTCAATAACATTGTCTGGGATGGTGGTATAGCTCAATCACAGACAGCAGGCTTTGGAATTTTATTTTAAAGCTAAGCTGTTGGGGTCGGGTGACTTTGCTCATGTTGCTTCATGCTGCACATGATTCTTAATTTTTAATCTTTGTCTAACCTGCCTGTTAGTATCAATTTTCCACTGGTTAGCAGTGTAGCAGTAGGGAGCTTGAGCAACAACTACAACAACAGCAATAAGAACACCATAAAAGCAATAGGTTTACATGTAGATTAGCAAGAAAACTTTGCACAAGCATTTTGCTTTTTCGTATATTTCTTTGCATTATTGTTGTACAACATTGCCACTATGAAACTGCCTAATATGCCACTTGCACATCTCCCATAATGCACCTAATAATTTTCTGAAGGAGGTGAACACAAGACATTGATTTTCTTATTCTTATTTTGAATTTAGATACGTTCCTTTAGAAATCAACTCCAGAAAAAATTCACCAATATTTGACAAGTTGAACGACATGGAAGAAGAGTGATGAATTTCAAAACAGCGAGAATTCATTGTTAAGAGACCTTTTTTGCTACCATCATCCTCATCGTTACTTAAGCTCCCTAGTGCCTGAGTAGATGACTCCAATATGGTTGCTGGTTGTCATAGTTACCCACTGCACTCGGTTAATACAGGCCCGACTCCCGCCTAGAGGGCACATCTACTGTCGAAGAGTTTAACTTTGCAAACAGTTGCACCAGAACATAACAGTACTCACAATAACTTTAAAAAAGAACCGCGACAGTTATTTTCCGACCACAAATAAAACAGCAGTCCATGCATGTACCAGGTGTTTTAAGAATGTCTCACATGAAAGCTTACAGAATGGCCATTGATCTGATACGTACGTGCCGTGATTTATTACGAGATCACTTACCAAGGCAAAGAAACCCATTTACGAGTGGACCAGGCACTTCGGCAAAGCAAAAATTAATGCCTGTTCTCTTAGATCGGTATTTCTTGACGGGGATGGAGTTTAAAACCACGAAGGAAGACAATAATTCAAAATGTTCCGCCATCTTTAGTGATGACAAGGAATGGAGAGAGAGGGGCTGGGTCCAAGAGCCCACTTGCTTCCAGCGGTTTTTCCTTATTAGCACATGCACACTAACGATGACTCCACAAAAGTTTTCAACATGGCGGCTATCGGGGGCACTGTCACTCCTGAACATTGTGGTGGATTTTCGTTTGAAAACTGCAAAAGGTAAGCGTAAAAGATAACGACAGTGTTCAGATTGTGACGTTTCATCAATTGAGACCATCTGATTGCGTTGCAGAAATGCAATATTGGAAAAAATGGGCGCTAAGTTGCCCACAGCGAGGAAAACCGGCACAACCATCTGTGGAGTTGTATTCAAGGTCAGATCTAACTTAAACGCAATCGACAAAGTTCCTATTTTTTAGCAACGCGTAAGATTATTTCTTAAATTGATGAATACACTTCAGTGTTGAAACTTCGTCTAGTATTCTTGGTTTGCAACCACGTGACAAGGCGCCCATTTTGGGCTTCAATACAATAGAATTTTTTCTTGAAGAATTTACATGGAAATGGAGTTTAGTTCTCAGAGGAGAGAAATGCTTTTGTTCTTTACCACCAACATGGCCGCTGTGACGTCACGTGCAATCCAGCAATTTGATAAATTTCTTAACTAATTCAAAATCTTTTCATCTTGTGATTTTGTTGTACAGTAAGAACCCTGATAACTCGAACTCAGATGACTCGAACTCTTCGCTAACTCGAATGTTAGCTAAGTCCAATTTCCTTTGGACTTCACCCCACTTTTCAGTCATTTTCCTCGGATAACTGGAACTCCCCACTAACTCGAACATGATCGTGATTTTGTTGTACAGTCGAACCCTGATAACTCAAACTTCCCAGCTAACTCGAACTTACCGTATTTCTTCACCTATAAGCCGAGCGATTTTTTCAGTTTTCGACCCAAAATTTTGGGAGATTTTTCACGAAGAACGGGGTTCGGCTTGTAGCCGAGGGTTTTAGATTTTAAAAATATACAGTTGCTGAATAACTTTACCCCCCGGCTTGTCGTCAAGTTAGAAATGAAGCAGAAGTAATAAAACACAACAAAAATAACTTCTGAATATTGGTTAGTCACTTCTATGAAATTGGTGCAATGACGAAGCGGTGAAACCGCACAACATTCTCTTCGAGGTCGGCGGGCAATCGCTGGGCCAGAGTTGTTTTCGTTTGCATGCTGACCGAGTGGCGTCGTTTCCATTTCTCATACCATCCACGGGAAGCTTTGAAAGAAGGATCATAGGTGAGCTCTTTAGCTTTAAGGCGAAGCATCAATCCACTCACAGCAATACCTACTAAAAAAATAAAATAACAATCTTATTTTGATGCGAGATAACCATAGATTCGTGACTGCAGCACTCTTTTCGTGACATGTTATGAAATTGTCATGACAACAACACATTTCTGGCCAATCAAAGTCTCTGTTTCCCACGCACTGAAAAGGCGATATCATTCAACTCTACAAAAACTCTTACATGTTCCGATAAACAAAGTAAATACCAACCTTGTTCTCTTTGCTGTGAAAACCACTCCATCACTTGCTGGTCTAGTTCGCGATATTTCGGAGTGAAACGCCCATCGTCGCACGCTTTTGCAGACATCTTCAGCTCACCAGAAAGAATAGTCGCCTGGTTTCTTCTCCAGGGTCGTACCATGGACTCGCTTAGTCCATATTCTCGGCGATTTCGAGTTGTTTTCTACGCTTCAGCTTCGCGATAACTTTTATCTTGAAAGCCATACTATACGTGGAACGGCGTGCTTTAGGCATGATGATAAAAGTAACAGCGACGAAAGGGATACTCGATCGATTGATACTTTGAAACGTTTAACTGAGATTGTTGTTGTGGTTGATCTGTTGTCTCTTCATTGGTTCGCTTTTTTTCTTTTGTGTTTATTGTAATTCATTACGTTTTGTGTTCAGTGAGTCAATTTCTTATGTTTTCTGTGAGGTTCGCTTGCTCAAACGGCCAGTTACAATCAATAATTTCGCTCTCGGCTTATAGCCGATGGTTTTACTTTTTTTGGGGGGCAGCCTGAGTCTAGTGGAAAGACCCTGACTTTCAGGGTCTCGGCTTATAGCCGAGATCGGCTTATAGGTGAAGAAATACGGTAGTCCAATTTCCCTGGATTTCACCCCACTTTTCAGTCACTTTTACTAGCTTGGTTAACTCGAACTCAGATAACTCAAACTGTATTTTATTTCCCTTTATAGTTCAAGTTATTGGGGTTCTATTGTACTTGTCACATGTCCCCCCCTCCACTCCCCCAAATGCAATGGATGAGAGTTCCTGAGGGGGGCTTTAAAAGTCATTTCTGATGGTTTGGCTGTGTTGGCACCTTTGATGTTTGGAATATTTCTGAGGGTATGAGAACAAATGGGTTCTTTTTGAGGGAGGAACTGTGTCAGTACTTTTGTTTTTTTCCTTAGGGGTATAGTCAACTTACCTCATTTGTAGAAGGGTATGGCTATTAAATGGAATGGCCTGGAGTCATGGTCTTTACCTGTGTGGCATTTAAACTATGCCTTATTGAGTTGTATGTCAAGATTTACAACTCATCAAAGTATCTATTAAAATTCTACTGTGGTTCACTTTTACATTGTTGATTTTTTCATAGGATGGCGTTGTTTTAGGAGCTGATACCAGGGCAACAGAGGTAGATGGTAGACCCTTTTGGCTTTCTTGATCAAACCATCTTACTTTCTCTGAATTCCTGTGATAAACTGACTTTACTAATTTTGATGTGTTATAGGATACTATTGTTGCCGACAAAAATTGCTCCAAGATACACTACATTGCTCCAAATATCTAGTAAGTATGGAGTATCAACATTATTGTTGACTGAAATCTTGTTTTGTTTTATGCATTATTGATCAAGCTTGGTAAGTTAACATGGCTGGATATTTGCCAAGTAGTTTTTTTGTGTTTTATGGACCAAGAGGAAGTCAGTGTTCTCACCAGGATTTTGCCTTGGGGAGTCCCAGGGCCCCCTCTTCTGAGAAATAGGGGCCCTGTAAGAACATTAGGGGGACAAAGTTACAAAAAACACGCGGTACGAAGAACCTGAGCCCGCATTCCAAATTGTCTGTTACATGAAGTACCTACCTGATCCAATATTGCAGAAGAGGTGTTTACGATTCGGAGGAGGAGTTTACGATGTAGTGGGACGTACGTGGGACCAATGAAAGTAAAGGCAACAAAATTAAAGACTTTGACTCATTTGATATCATGTTTTTTATTTATTCAAACAAACAGAATGCCTTAGTGTTAGGTTAACCATTAAAACTACTTAAGTCCGTTTGACTCGTAGCTTGCCCCTGCGCCCTAACGGGCGCATCTTCTTGGTTTTAATGCGCCATTTCAGTTTTTCTTGCGGGAATCCCGCAAGGCCGCGGCCTGGTGAGAACACTGGGAAGTCATTGTGCAAAAAACAACCAACTCACGCACAGAAAAAACAATGGCCAATATCCAGCCATTTTGACCAAACAGAGCTGTAGGCTTGGGAAATAAAGGATTTGTCATATGGCCTGAACCAAATATTTCCTTAGGGGATAAAGCTGGGGATCCCTACCCAATTGGGCCTATCCAGGTAGCCAATCAGAAAATAAAGGAGTCATTGCTTCCTGCTTTCTTGCAGAGCCAGCCAAAAAAGTTAATATTTAATACAGAATGCAGACAGAAATTTAGAATGGTTTAGCTTCTAAGGCTACTTCTGCATGCCAAACTCAATAATAATAAATATATTCTATTGGTTTCAACAGTAACTTGAGATCAGGTTCTTTTTTCTTTTATCTTTCTGAATAATAAAGTTGGGCCTGATCTCAGGTTAGTTCAAAAGAAGCACGACGTTAATGTAGAAGTTGTTCCAGAGTCTAGCTTAACATGGTAAAGGGTTTTGAAATTTGTTGCTCTGCCGGACCAAATTTAAAACTTTGATTCAGACATTGTGCTTCTGCCATGCTTTTGTCGAATGTAATCCAGGAATTAAGTTAGGCATAGCAGAAGCATGACATAATGTATGAACAGGTACCCAAGTTTTAGCCCCAAAAAAATTAATGGTGAATTCATGGTTGTCACTAAGATTTCGAAGTTGCTGGGTAAATATAACAAGTAGGCAGGGAATCAAACAGCTAGGGATTTCTTCTGGTTCTATTTTTATTCTATTTTCCAATGAAATTATCTGGGGACCACATTCATAGTAGCCGGGGGAAATCCCCAGACCCTGGCTCTTAATGACAACTCTGGAATTAATGAAATAAAATAACCAATCAATATTGCATTTTATTTCAGTTGTTGTGGGGCAGGCACTGCTGCAGATACTGAATATGTCACACAACTCATCTCTTCCCACATAAAACTACACAGCCTATCAACGGGACGTCAGGTAATGAGTGAAGCGGTTGAAGGAGCTGTGTCACAAAAAAAAAAAATTATCAAAATTCAAAAAGTAGTAACCACCACCAGACTGAGTGAAACACAAAAATAACTGCTCAGAACATGAAAAGAAGATGATTATAAGTAACACAGCAAATACAAAAGGAGGAACGTATGGATAAACTTGAAGAAGATTGAAACAGATTGAGTTGTGCTTTTTGAAAACTTGTTAGCTTAACAGTTTTTCAAAGTTCATTTTTGTTTTTGTTATGTTTGATATTATGCTTAGGAGGCATATTTGTTTGACTTGAAGCTATGATTTTGCCATTTACAATTAATTTCTCAAGTTCCATTGCGAGGAAGGATCCGCAATTGGCATTGTTAAAAAAATGAACTAGACAAACGTGACAGAGCCCCTTTAATAATAATAGGAAGCTTAAGCAACGACAACAATGATGGCAAGAAGAGTGGCAGAAAAGCAACAGCTTCATATTAAGCAAAACAACAACTTTGCACGACTACAATTTGAAAGTGCATAATTTCACGTTTTGTCGAGGACGGGAACACAAGATAAGAACTTTGTTTTTCTTGTCTTGAACTTTCATACAGTCCTTTAGAATTCAACTCCAAAAAATTTGCCAACATTTGACGAATTAAACAAGATGGAATAAGTGTGATAAAGTTTGAGGCCAACATAAATTCGCTTTTTAAGTGATGTTTTCATAGCCATCGCTGTTATTGTTACGTAAGCTCCCTAATGATA